AACTACCCACTCTCGAGAAAATATTTGCCAACTGTGCATCAGACAAAGGACTGATAACCAGAATATATAGGGAACTTAAAAAACTAAATTCTCCCAAAACTAATGAACCAATAAAGAAATGGGCAAGTGAACTAAACAGAACTTTCTCAAAAGAAGAAATTCAAATGGCCAAAAAACACATGAAAAAATGCTCACCATCTCTAGCAATAAAGGAAATGCAAATTAAAACCACGCTAAGATTCCACCTCACCCCTGTTAGAATAGCCATCATCAGCAACACCACCAACAACAGGTGTTGGCGAGGATGCGGGGAAAAAGGAACCCTATTACACTGTTGGTGGGAATGTAGACTAGTACAACCACTCTGGAAAAAAATTTGGAGGCTACTTAAAAAGCTAGACATCGATCTACCATTTGATCCAGCAATACCACTCTTGGGGATATACCCAAAAGACTGTGACACAGGTTACTCCAGAGGCACCTGCACACCCATGTTTATTGCGGCACTATTCACAATAGCCAAGTTATGGAAACAGCCAAGATGCCCCAGCACTGACGAATGGATTAAGAAAATGTGGTATCTATACACAATGGAATTTTATGCAGCCATGAAGAAGAACGAAATGTTATCATTCGCTGGTAAATGGATGGAATTGGAGAACATCATTCTGAGTGAGGTTAGCTGTCAGAGACAAGGCTCCCTTTGTGAGCCATTCTGTCTTGACCTTGCCCTGGAACATTTTGCGGTTGTTTGTCCCAACTTCTCCATCTCCAGCACAAGATGGCGCCGTCCCTGCTTCTCTTCCGGGAGTTTACCTTGCCGCCGGCGCGAACGGGCACCCTATCAGAAGTCCTATAGCAGAACCAGCCAACCAGCCTGCACCTCCTCATACCCCTCACTCCCTCAGCACATAAATACCCCTGTGTGAACAATAAAATTTTGCAGCTTGATCAGAACTCCTGTCTTGCTGTCTCCTTCGTGTCTCTTGTCCCTTCATTCTTCCCCTTCTAGGTTCGCTACCCACGCTGATGTGTCCTGCAGGACGGGACATCTGGCGCCCAACGTGGCTGTAGCTATTCCTTTGATTGCGGGGAGAACACCGTCCTCCGGGAAGGCTTGGGCCCAAGCAGAGTTTGCGATCGCCTCGGCAAACGCAACCGAGAGACAGATCCAGGAGGAGAGTGAGGACGGCGAACGGTGAGTGACCCACCCTGGGACAAGCAGTGTCGTCACATGATTTGTTTCTTTCAGGCCTCAAGGAGGCCCTCAAGACACGAGGGGCGCGTGTTAAGAAAAAAGACTTGAGGTCATTATTTTGTTACATAGGAGATTTATGTCCTTAGTTTCCTCTCGAAGGAACCATTGATGGTAAAAGATGGCTCCGGGTCGGAGACTGTTTAAAAGACTATTATGAATCTTTTGGCCCCGAAAAGGTCCCTGTGACCGCCTTTTCTTATTGGAACTTGATTAATGACATTCTCAAAAGTGCACCCTTTGATAATGGTACTTTAAAACTTGTTAAAATTGGGCAAAATGCTATGCAGACGGCTTCCCGCCCTCCTACAGGGGTCTCTGGTGGAGGACCCACGGATGCTGTCAAACATCTTCAAATAATCGAGCTTTTAAAACCCCAAATCCCTGAACTCACATATCACCCCTTAATGTTGCCTAAATCTCAGATTCCAGATTTAGATCCCAATACATTAGATATTTTGGGAAGTACCTTCTCCTTGCTTAACACTTCCAACCCCACCCTTGCTAAGGATTGCTGGCTTTGCATGACCACAGGAGCAATAATGCCCATGGCAATACCTGTTAACTCCACCGTAAATAATCAGGATACCTGCCAATCTGGACTTCCCTTTAAAGTACAGCCTATGGATGCACCTACAGTATGCCTTCAAGGCAGGATGCAAAATAATTCTTATGATATTGACGTTGGGGTTAGTTCTTTTGGAAATTGCTCATCAGTTCTAAATTATTCCTCACCCACCCCAGCTCTTTGTCCCCCAACGGTACAGTTTTTTTGTGTGGAGGAAACTCAGCCTTCCCCAGGCTTCCAGCAAATTGGACTGGTGGCTGTGTTGTTGCCTTATTACTCCCAGATATTACTGTTGTCTCAGGAGATGAACCTCTGCCCATTCCTAGCTTAGACACCTTAATTAAAAGACATAAACGGGCAATACAAGCCTTACCGCTCCTTGCCAGCCTTGGAATAACAGCAGCTATAGGCACAGGTACAGCTGGCTTAGGCACGGCTATACACTCTTACCGTCGCCTATCTCAACAACTTATAGATGATGTACAAACTCTATCTGGAACCATTAAGGATTTACAGGACCAAATAGACTCCCTGGCAGAAGTGGTCCTTCAGAACAGGCGAGGCTTAGATCTGCTAACAGCCAACCAGGGAGGTATCTGCTTGGCCTTAGGGGAAAGATGCTGCTTTTATGCCAATAAATCAGGCATAGTACGCACCAAAATTAAACAGCTTCAAGAAGATTTAGAAAAGAGACGAAGGGAGCTATTTGAAAACCCCCTCTGGACTGGGCTTAATGGAATTCTACCCTACCTTCTTCCACTATTAGGCCCCTTGCTAGGTCTACTTTTAATTGTGATCATAGGGCCCTGCATTATAAACAGGCTGATACAATTCATTAAAGAACAAATTAACACCTTAGCCTCTAAGCCTATACAGGTCCATTATCATCGCCTGGATATGGAAGACCGTGCTCCTGAGACCTTCCTTTCAATAGAAACTCGCTAAATGCTCCATCTGGGTTTCCAAATTTTCTCTCTGCCACCCCCTCTTCTTATATAACATTCTTGACCACTCATCGCCCATTGGGCCCTCCTCCACTGGGCCCCTCTGCTTGGGGGAGGCAGCACCCAGGGAGAGTGATCATAAAGGCTTTTCTAAACGAGGGTGCAGGTAAGACTGCAGGAGGGTGGATCCTAGGATCCCCAGACCCAAGACCTCTGTATGACATGCCCTGGTGCATGGCGGTTGGCATGCTCCTAAAAAATCCGCCTCCTCAAAAAACATGCCGAGGAGATTCTCTTGAGAACTTAGCAAGGACGCTTGCTTACAAAGCAAAAATGATCTCCACCCTGAGGAACTGGGCCTCTGTCATCCCCTCTCAATAAGCCGACATATTCTGGTCATGTTTGTATAAGAATAAGGGGGAAATGTTGGAGACAAGGCTCCCTTTGTGAGCCATTCTGTCTTGACCTTGCCCTGGAACATTTTGCGGTTGTTTGTCCCAACTTCTCCATCTCCAGCACAAGATGGCGCCGTCCCTGCTTCTCTTCCGGGAGTTTACCTTGCCGCCGGCGCGAACGGCACCCTATCAGAAGTCCTATAGCAGAACCAGCCAACCAGCCTGCACCTCCTCATACCCCTCACTCCCTCAGCACATAAATACCCCTGTGTGAACAATAAAATTTTGCAGCTTGATCAGAACTCCTGTCTTGCTGTCTCCTTCGTGTCTCTTGTCCCTTCATTCTTCCCCTTCTAGGTTCGCTACCCACGCTGATGTGTCCTGCAGGACGGGACAGTTAGCCTGGCCCAAAAGACCAAAAATCGTATGTTCTCCCTCATATGTGGACATTAGATCAAGGGCAAACACAACAAGGGGATTGGACTATGAGCACATGATAAAAGCGAGAGCACACAAGGAAGGGGTGAGGATAGGTAAGACACCTAAAAAACTAGCTAGCATTTGTTGCCCTTAACGCAGAGAAACTAAAGCAGATACCTTAAAAGCAACTGAGGCCAATAGGAAAAGGGGAACAGGTACTAGAGAAAAGGTTAGATCAAAAAGAATTAACCTAGAAGGTAACACACATGCACAGGAAATCAATGTGAGTCAACTCCCTGTATAGCTATCCTTATCTCAACCAGCAAAAACCCTTGTTCCTTCCTATTATTGCTTATACTCTCTCTACAACAAAATTAGAAATAAGGGCAAAATAGTTTCTGCTGGGTATTGAGGGGGGGAGAGGGAGGGGGCGGAGTGGGTGATAAGGGAGGGGATGGGGGCAGGGGGGAGAAATAAACCAAGCCTTGTATGCACATATGAATAATAAAAGAAAAAGGAAAAAAAAAATAAATAATACACTACCCACTCTCATTCCTCCACTCAGTCACTGTCACCTACCTTATCAAATTTCTGCCCCCAAAGTCACATCCCTTATATAGCACTCTGCTCCAGGTGCTCTGCATTGATTCCCCTTGGTGACCTCACATGAATTTGCTGTGCCAGATCATACCATGATATTCTCAGCAATTTAAGTTACACAACTTCACCATCTTATGAAAAATCACTTGTTAACTACACACAATTATGTTAATGACAGAAAATAGTCTCTTCGTGGTTAGTTTGATGTGTTGCATAGACAGGCAATCTTTGGTCCTGTTGTTCTTTCCTCTCTTTGTTCTTTAAACCTCTATTTTCATGAGCTTCCGACTAGTAAGAAAATAAAATTCTTTTTGCCTAGTTCCCTGCTTATGCTTCCAAACCATAATTGATCACTCTTCCTGATTGTGTTCTAGAAATATCAAGGAAAAAATTCTAGTTTTCCCAGACAGGTTTTTAAACTGTTAATTAAATTTTAAAATTTAAGTTTAAATTTTTCTCCATTTTTGAAGGATACCATTTCTTGACAATTACAAAAGGCATTCAATTCATCATTCTTCCTCCTACCTCTAACCCTAAGTATCCCCCAGCCCATCTAGAGTCATAACTGTAGTATAAAGCTCTACTTATGTCTATTTCTCCTAGTTTCTTCAAGTCCACATAAATATTAAAATATCCTAAGCCCAAATATACTAAATTACTCCAATCCATCTCTCAACTGTACATGATTATAATAGGGAATGGGTTTTTCTTGCAGTAACCTCTCTCTTTCTCTCTCTCTCTCTCTCTCTCTTTCTCTCTCTCTCTCACTTTAATAAGCCCTAGGAGTACTAAGAGAATAAACAAGGAAGCCAGGGTACCTCTTCTTGAAGACACTTTTCACTTTTCTCTGCATGGCAGCACATTCCTATCAGGTGCAAAAAATCCACAATGATTGATTGGAACTGCATCTCTGTCGCATATGGGTTCTGCTTCACAAGGCTGCTGAGGAGCCTAAATAAGAAATAAGGAGAAAAATATAAGGACTCCCTGAGTTCTACAAGGCCAGCCTGCAAACTGGTCTTACTTATTTAGGGCCACATACCACAAATGACTTTTTGTCACTCCCACTCTTACGGGTAAAGACACTGAAAATTCCCTGACATCCTTATAGGTTCACAATGTCAGTCTCTGTTTTAATGTTTATTAAACACTCTTTTTCTGCAAGCATACCTTCTCAATATAATTATTACATTAATTTTAATTGTCTGTATGGATAATCATTGCTAGGGTGAACATCTTTGGTTTCTACTATGTTATTGCATGTGAATGGACTATATAAATTAAATCTTTTCCTAGTTTTTTATGCATTCTAAACATCTAACTTCCAAATAAATATTACAAGTGCAACACACTTGGAATTTGAGGGCCTCTTGCATGTTGCTAATGAGAAGTCAATAAAAGAATTTGAAACTGTAATGGTTTAATCATCACCTCAGATTTCCCTCACTGAATTTCTCCCACAACTATAAAAATCAACATTTCAACCACCTTGAACATTCAAAATTGTAATCTGCTTTCTGTCTCCCTATTTAATAAATATACAAATCTTCTAATGCTAACATTGCTTATGGTTAGAGAAATTTTTCCTCTCTCCCTCTCCCTCTTCCCTCTCTGCTCTCTTCCTCTCTCCTCTCTCTTCTTTCCTTTCCCCCCTCTCCCCAACTGGGCAAAAGACAAAATATAAGACCAAAAGATTACAAGTTGGAAAACTCGTCTCCCACCCCACCCTGTTTTCCTGGAATGGACAGGTGGCAGATAGGGTTTGCAACAATTGTCATCAGCTAGAGATGTTGGAGAAGAGCAGCCAATAGCAGGGTAAAACAGGGTGGGATGTGCTGGGGTCAATTTCACTGTGTGCTGGTGATACTTGGATCCCAGTGCGTGCTTCTCTCTTCCCAACTGTCTCAACATGGGTAACTGGCCTAAAGCAAGGTGAGTCAATGAGACATTTGATTTCAGGACTGAGATGCCACCTACCCTTTGCTATCTACCACCAACTAAGTCTCCAATATATATGTGGCATCAGAGCAGGAGAATAGTCACCTGCAAGAGAAGCAGGTGCTTAGAGCACAAGGATCAGGCAAGTAAATACAGCCCTCTTGGGCACCCAGGACTTGCCTACTTAAATGGTGCCCATGGGGACTATGGCACTGGATGACCACAACTGTAGACTTCAATACTAAACTTTAGTAGTAAAATTAACCAATATTATAAAAGAACTAGATCATATAATTATTTTTCTACCTAACTGTACTGTACATATTCAGTCCTCATTGTTAATTAGACCTAAACTCATCCTCTGAAAGCACTATTTTTAAATGTCTCTATGCTATTCAAAGTCTGCATAGTTAACATGTATAGTCAAACCAGTTTATAATAATCAATTTTTATCAAATACAGACTTCTTCCCATTGGAATTTGACTTGATCCTCCCTACCCCTCCAGCTTCATTTCTGAATGTTTCTACTCCAAAGTCATATTGAACCACTCACTCTGCTAAGTCGGCTAGTTTCTGGGTGCAGTTTCCAATAGTTACCAGTAGAGGGAGGAGGAGCACAACCGCTGAGTTCCTGAAGCTCAGCCAGCCACAGTTTAAGGAAAGGAAAACAAATACATGTTCCATTGTAAGAGGACAGCAGGCAAACGCTTGAGAATAAGATTCAGGAAAGGAGAATCAGGGTGTCATGTTACTTCTTCTTGCCACTGCAAATATAAAGGCTGCCGTTTTTCTACAATGGGAGACTCTGTGCCACCTAGAAGCTGGACCCCTCCTCCACCCCTATGTCACACAGGTGGGCCACTTGGAGTTGTTTTAGCTCTACTGTTCCTTTTCCCTCCCCCACTCCAATCCTACCACCCTGACTGCGTTTATTTAACAATATCCCCCCTAATCTTTTCTAAATTTTAGTTTTAATTTACCATTTTTAACCTTCAGTCTCATTTTCGACCCTCAATACTATCAACTTATTTTCACTTTTACATTTCTAAGATATTATTCTTTAATTTTCACCAAATTGTTCATAATTTAATTTAAAGCTCATTCTACTTTTATACACTATTTTAAATGAATGTTTCAACTCAGTGTTTTTCTTAATTGCATCTTAAACTATTTCACTTTGAACTTTATCTCCTACTCTACAAGTTTTATCCAGGGCCTCACCTTCTGCTTCCTGTACCTGTTGCATGATCTCAGGGCATGTCTTCTTGCCTTCTCAACCCCAGTTTCCTCATAATTAATATGGAGTGACAAAATTACCTACCTCATAAATTTCTGGTAAGAATTCGGGTTATAATACATATATACATGGAAATGTCATAAAGAAACTCCTGTTTGTTTAAGCTATCTTAAACAAACAAAAACGTCATTTTTTTTTTCATTTAAAAATAGGAGAACAGGAGGGCAGAACAGTTCCTGCCTGGTAAGGAAAGGGCATGGGAGGTTGAATATGGCCCAAATATTGTGTACACATGTATGTAAATGAAAAAATGATACCTGTTGAAACTATTCCCGGAATGGGGGGAGGAGGAGGTAAAGGAGAATGGAATGATGGAGAGAGTGAATTCAAGTGTGATATATTTGATACATTGTAAGAACTTTTGTAAATACCACAATGTACCATCACCAAGCTCAACAATAAAAAATAAAAATAAATAAACAAGTAAATAAATTTCAGTAAGGATCTACTGAAATGACATCATCAAATGGTGCCTATCTATGTCTTGGAATTTTAGCTAGAAGCAAAGCCTACTCTCTAGAAGGGAAATGGGCTTCATTTTCATGTTCTCACAGCAAGCCTGGACTAAAGAGTGAGTGACTAATGTTACAAGGGTCTGTGGGTGCGTAGTGGAAACTTCTAAGGTTTAGTTTGTGAAATTTAGTTTTACCTTGGCAAATGAAGGGGTTTAAAGGGTCAACTGGTTTATGATTTGCAAGCACCATGATAAGGCAGAAAAGGTACCAGCCTTGTATTTACTGACCATGAGAATGTGGTCATTCCCAAGGTAAAAAAAAAAAAAAAAAAGAAAAGAAAGAAAAACAAACTTTGCCCCACTCAGCAAGATGATATTTTTGGACTAATAATATTTAGACCCTGCTTTAATCAAGTGGGTATTACAGAAAATAAGCTAATCAGAAATAAGCTCCCACTTCTGATGATCTTGGGGGACAAAGAACAAAGAGGACTCCAAGGTATTCTCCTAGGGACTGGAGCAGGGGTGTGCAAGAAGGGCACTAGGAGGAACTGCACCACTGTCAGATATTGGACTGCTGGTTCAGGGAAACTGGACCCTTTGGCTTTCCAACAACACTTTTGGTAGATTCCAACACTGGTCTCTTACATTGCCTCCATCACCAACGGAATCCATTCCTAGGGAGCATACTTCGCCATGGGAATACCTTGCTGTAGGTTTAGGAATGGGGTGGAGGTGGAGAGATGAAGACTGATGCCACTAAGTCTATGTTGGCAGCAGCAAAACATTTGTCGTTTCTCTAAGACTTGATAATAAGGGTTCCATTCAGCCCATCTATGAGAGTAGGTTAGAGAGAACTGGGGAAATGCCAGCCACTTACAAGATCTCAGTCACCTATGTTCTCAGTAGCTAAGAGTAAGAGCAGCTGCCCTAAGGTTGTGTGAGCCACATGTCCATCATGGCTCATTCACTTAGTCATGGTCAGAAATCTCATCTCCCAGATCATCCTCCTATGTACTTCCCTTCATACTTATGCTTTCTACATCCCTAAACTGACCCATCTCCGGTCATCCTGCTTTCTCTAAATCTTCCTCTGTTTCCTTTGTAATTTGGGACTTCCTCTCAGAAACTCTCCTTATCCATAGCGTCTTCTCTGAACTTCTCTTTCTTGCTCTATTCAAAACGTGAAGCTCCTGACTCAGCATGGTGATGCATCCCAGTAATCCCAGACACTTGGGAAGCCAGCCCAGTTAGTGAGTCTCCATCTCAACAAACTAGCCAGGTGTGGTGGCTCACACCTGCGGAAGGCCATATGTAAGAGAATCACAATCTGAGGTCTGGGGCTGGCTCCCTGAGACCCTACCTGAAAAACAACTGAAGCAAAAGATGACCTGGGAGTGTGGCTCAAGTGATGTAGTGCCTGCCTCACAAGGCAAAGCCATGAGTTCAAGCCACAGTACTGCAAAAAGCAACAATAAAAATAAAACAAAAAACATGAGGCTCCTGACAACACAGATTCCCCAAAGTCTCTCAAGGGGAGTCTGTTTTTTCTTGAATACCACTAGCTTTAGCACCTGGTTCCCTCTTGCTGCTTCAACATATCTCTCTTCTTTTGAAAGCTAGCACTTCTTTGAATTATAAATCATTTGACTTTAACGTCACCTGTCCCTCTTTCTGACACATGGAGAAAGCAAGCCTGCTCAAGAGCCCTCACTGTTTTATGACTTCAGACCCAGTTAATTGTCTTGATTTCAAACATGATCTTGATATTTTTATCATTTTCTATAATTTCAGCAACCATGTTACTGATCCACATGTGACAGACTAATTGCAAAATTGTACCCTATAGCCTACCTTTCCCTGTATCCACATCCTCTCCCATATGGCTGTTCAACAATTCTTCCTATCAACATATTAATCTGTCTCCACACCCCTTTATTCTGGACTGGCCTTGTGACCTACCTCCCAGCAGAATGGATAATTACTGAATTCCAAACCTGGCCTTCATGTGGTCGCTACACTTCTCCCTGTTCCCAGCTACCACATGAAGAAACTGGGCTAGCCTGCCAGATGACAGGGGACCACATGAACCAGATATGAGCCATGCTAAGATCAGCCAAGATGACCCAGCTCACTTGAGAAGCTGGCTGCAAACACAGGAGCAAGTCCAGCTGAAAATGGCTCCAGGTGGACCAGGCTAGGAAACTCATCCTCTCAACCCACAGATACTTGAGCAATAATAATTGGTGGTGTTTTAACCCAATTGGTGTGATTTGTAATGAGCAAAAACTAACTGGTAGATTGTATATGGAAAAGATGAGGAGAAAAACTTAATAATGAACTGCAGTAGCAAGAAAGAGGGTGGCCAACACATGGATGACTAAATCGTCTAATAGATGCTGTGAAGGCGGCAGTAGAAAAGATCATTGCATTGAGTTCTTTTGCAGACTTCATCCAGAAACTCTTTTTTTTCTTTTTTTTTTAACATAGAACACATGTTGGAAAGTCCACTAAAATGAAAGAAGTATTATTCTGGCAACATTTCTCTTTAATAGGCTACAGCACTGGTAACAGCAATAGCATAGGTATGGCATATTCTCAAAATGTTCTATTTATAAATGTTTTCATACATTACATGAATATGTGCATATATTATATATACATCTGTGTATTTCAATGGTCATAAAGAAGTTTGGGAAGCATTCTACAACATCCTTCTCATCTTCCCCTGGAGCTCCACCTGCAGATTAAGAGTATAAGAATCCCACCCCATCTCCAATTGTTTGTTCAATAATAAGGATCTGTTCTTACACTGCAACACAACCTATCTGTACAAGAATTTCTCTAACTTCAGAAGTAGAAATTTGGTTGAAAGTGACAAGGAAACAGATTTCTACTTAACAAAAATATGAACTTTTAAATAAGTAAGCATATTTAAAGATAAAACAGACTCCTTTAAGGAAATGATGATCTTATAGCTAGAATTTTTTTTTTTTTGGCAGTACTGAGGTTTGAACTCAGGGCCTCACACTTGCTGTGTAAGTGCTTTGCCACTTGAGCTACTCCACCAGCTCTGTTTTTCTGTTGGATTTTTTTCAAGACAGGTTCTTACAAACTATTTACCTCGGCTGGTTTTGAACCATGATCCTCCTGACCTCTGCCTCCTGAGTATCTAGGATTAAAGGTATGAGCCACCGGCACCTGGCTTCACTGGAAATATTTATAGAAAAACTTTCCAGTGTGTTTACAAAATATTTCCTAAACTTGTGGAGTCAGAAGATTAATTAATATCTAAAATTTCTCCCATTTTGATAATGCTTTGGTTTTACATCTTCACAGAAAAAATATGCAGTGTTTAAATGTTAATCTCTTGTGAGTTTCCTTCAGTATCTTATTTTCTTATATTCTAAAAAGTCATTACAAAGCTTTATCTGGTTCAAGGAACTGTATTATAAGAGAGCTCAGAGGGATAAGAAATCAAGGATTTAAGGAGTTAAACTCACAGTCATTACATTAGCACCCAGCTTGTACTCTCTATTAATCACCTGAAAAACAGACAGTCCTAGAAGTGGTAATAGATGTAATTATACACCATTAGGTGATGCACATCATTCTAATGGAACATTCCAGAGCACTTTCTTATCATAGAGGTTCTGCAAAAGCCTGGTAGAGTCTATGGCCCAAATGATATTTGGTTAGAACAAGCTAAACAGATTTCTTTATTACAAGCCTTCTCTAACATAATATTTTTAATTGAAAGCATTACTTTCCAGAGGAGAAAGGAAACAAAGTATTCCAAGACTTATTTAACCACAAAATCCTTTTTTCATGAACACCTTATAAGACTTATGTTCCAAAGTTGACAGTTAGAATAAATACATTAATATACTCCTATTAATATTTCCTGATCAATTTGCTTCAATTCCATTATTGAATTGTAGTAACCATAATAGCCATATTCACACAATTTATGAATGTTCTTAATTCTATTTGATTGCCAACATTTAGCTGCTGTACTCATTACACAATAATTGTATTTGCACCTAGATCAATTTTTTTTTACCAGTTTCTTTGTTGGTGGCAAAAACCAAAGTATACAAGCATCCTTACTTTTGCTTTGCAATTTGGAGTTCCTCCTCCTGAGCTTTGCACAAGTCTTCTTTAAGGTTGATGACTTGGTCACAAGATAAAGATGGAGAAAGGTAAGCACCATCCACTTGCAGATCATCAAAGCATGGCTTCCTGAAGGCATAGGAGTGGTCACAGCAGTGCCCCACACCAGCATTGATGGGCTCAGCCTCATGTCTTCTGCACAAAGCTCCAAGAATTAGCTTTGCCTTTCCCAGAAGAGAATTAAAATAGAGCCATAAGGTTTATAGCCATTTTTTTACCCATGGAAAATAAGATTATTTTTATATTCTCAAATTCTAATCTCTTCTAGTTCTGCCTGGCTTCCACTTTTAAGGAAAGCAGAAGAGTATCGGCTAGTTCCCAGCCTCGTGCTCCTCCCCTCCCTCATCTTGAGGTAGAGTTTCACTTAGACTCCATCTTCAGGTTCCTGCCTAGTCCAGCTGATAGACCAGTGCTGACTTGAGGTAGGGGTTTCTTATGCTTCCCCAAATTATAATCAAGTCTCAAATAATGTGACTCAGATATAAATCTAATGACTGCAGGTCTTAAGAAGTTCAAATCCAGTTCTTCTTATAACTTTATATCTGTAACAACCAAAGAATTTGGTACATAACAGATACTCTATGAATATTTGTTGAATGAATGATGAAAGAAATTCTTGAATCTTATTTCAGTTATCTGCTTCATTTTCTTGATCCCTTTTAGTACTGTCACCTTGCCTTACTCCCAGCTTGGTGTGTAGGACACGAATACTATCCTGATGCATTGAGCAAGTCTGCCTGTGTGCCTCTCTGAATATATTGACCACCCTAAATCCCTGTCTCTTATGTATATGAAGATGAAATGATTTGAACTAGTTTACATCAACATTTAACGTATGAGGTCATCCATTTTAGAAGTAACCAAAGAGATGGTCCAAAAGCAAGATTTTAGGAAAACAAAAGTCTAAAGACTTGCCTAAGGTATGCATGAGTAGATAGTACAAAATTTAAAAAATAAAAAAGAAATTGGGGCTAGATAATTTTTCAATCTACAACTGAGACAATTATATTTTATCAGAAGAACAAAAAAAAATTCCATAAAGGTTATGATCTATCATGAACACAGGGCAGAGGAAACAATCACTAAACATGAATTCTGAGAGTGAGAATCATGCTCTGTGGAGAGATTACTTCCATTTATAAAGAAGGAATAAATTATCATGCCTCTCTGTAACCTGAAGGACTATCCTTCAAAATCATCCCAGCTCTTCCTTTGAGTTTGTTTATACTAATATTCATGTCCTAAGTCAACCACTCAAGTATTTTGAGTCTTTGGGTATAAGTCTTATTCTTATACCCAATTATTCCTGCCATTGGATAGAAACTGCTCCTAGTAAATGAAAACACTTATATTCTCCCTAATAAATATAATACTTGTGAGTTTAAGTAGAGTTAATTCGTTTAAAATAAGCACTATCTTTAAAGTTGCTGGCAAAATCACTTTTTTCAACTTATCCTAACAACAGCCCCTGGAATGTGATCCAGAGAAAAGCCTTGTGAATCTAACAACTTACACCTTAGGGAAGGGACATGTCCCCCTGCTGCTACTTAGACAACTGACATGAGCTGACCTGAAAGAATTTCTCCTGAGAACAGAATGAGAAGACTCCATTAACTCATCAAGGACATATACACAGAAGTGAGACTGATTGCTAAGGACTGGAAATTAGAACTTTCTAAAACAGGCAAATGTAATGTCACAGATGTGCTTACCGAGTCCTCAACACATATAAACTGTTGCTCTTCTCTCAGTGGACAGCATTTGGTGGCAGCATCTGCCATCTTCTTTGTGAACACAACCAGCTCTTGAACTGAGAGTTGTGGGGCTTTCTTAGTGTAAAGAACTATGAGCCTAAAAGAAGAGTGTCTTCTTATTCTTGGCAATGGGTATATGCCTAAACATTAGTTCTACTGTTTTTCCAACATTATCTCTGATATAGGTAAATCGAGATATTAAACTGAGTTTAATTATATCATTTCTGTTCTGGCTCCAATAACTCAATGACTTACTCAAATATACCTGGAATCCTCATTCATCATGCATAACATCCAATAAAAGTGACAACCTAATCAGGTAGCTGTCAAAATGTGAACTCTGGATGAGCAGTATGAGCACCACTGGGAACTTGCTACAAATACAGATACCCAGGCTCCATCCTAGATTAATGAATCAGAAACTCAGGATGTAGAGTCTGTGTTTTAATAAGTTTTTTGGGTTACTTTTGATGCACCCCAAAATTTGAGGACAGAGATCTGTGTAATCTTTACATAGCATTAGCAACTAAGTATAACATAAAAGAGGTTATAAGCCAAAATTTCTGCCTAAATGAACCAGATTACTTATTCTAGACATTTAATTTAAGTTCAACATATGAGATAGCATATCAAACTGGACTTTTCGTTAATACTCTGCTTCTCAGTAGATTATCATAGTAAGATCTTATAAAATTCTCTTTGGGGTTTTGACACTTAATCTTCTAAATACAATGGGGTTTACCAGGTTCTCTGTACACAAGGAGGGGTTTGTGTCCCCTCTGTCAAATAACTAAGGTACCCAGTTATCTCTATTCTTGCTGATGAAACTACTAAATTTTCTTGATGAACCTGTCTTAAAACTGATGAAGGGATCCTGTGATAGATCTCTGTCATAGTTGTGATTCAAAATCACAAGTAAAGCCCAAAATCACAGGTAAAGCCCCAAATAAACATTCAGGTGTGACAGATTCCCATGAGATTACAGGAGAGAAGACAGAGCCTCCTTTTCCCCCTAACCCTTGGGCATTGACTGGTCTGGAAAGCAGCGTGGAAGCCCCCAGAGTGTGTAGACATCTGTCATATCAAGACAAAGAGCTAGGTTAATTCTGAAGTGACTTTTTCCTCAGCCTATAACATGTTTAAGCTTGGATGAAAACTCTTAGCATCAGAAATCAACTAAAGGTCACTGCAAACACTAATCTGAACAGTGTCTTACAGGCATACCTGTCATGAAAGTTGCTAGCTCCTAATTTCTCATGTAAACCACAGTGATTTTTTACACGGTCACGGCTTTCACGTACCACTCTTTGGAACATCTCATTCTGAAAAATAGAGATAATCAGTATTTATGTTAGGTTGCAACAATATAACTTGTGGTAAGGTTGCAAAAACACCTTCAATAGTTTATATAAATGTTTTCCTAAACTCAGGACTTTACTCATTTAGTGAGTTCCCAAATTTGAAAATTATGTTTTGCTGAAAGAGAAATCACCGTGTTCTTCATTGCAAAAAACTGGGACAGCAGGATTATTATTTGGTATCCAATAATATAAACCCATTTTATGGGCTTAAATGGCATGTCGTTAGTTATTTTAACACCAAGCCTTTGTACATATATAGATATAGGTACAGATGAAGATATTGCTATGTAGCTATAGAAATATAGATGCATGTTAAGAAATTATGATTTAATAACAATATATACCAACATAGTAAAATATGCCACACTGAAGTGAATCAAATGGGATTTTCACAACAAAAGGAAATTCAAAGAGTTCTTAAACCACAAAAATAGATTTCTGGGAGAAGGCACTAGTGACCTTGCAGGCTTATTCTTGGGTAGGAGTACTGATTAGCATCTTAACTGAGCAGACCTAGTCACCTTATCCTAACAAGCAGTGCTCATTATAGAGAAAACTCCATCAGATTTGCAAGCTGTTGGCCTAGATTTTATCCTTAGCTCTTGTCTTCACTACCTGTGAGACATTAGGCAACTCATCCGAACCTTCTGACATTCAATGTTGCCATCTATAAATATACTTAGTAACTCTAGTATTACCTATCTTACCAGACTACTGTAAGGATCAAATAGGACACTATTGTAAAGCTGCTTTGTAAACTCTAAGCATCCAGTGCTCCTACAAAGTGCTCTAACTATAGATTATCATGGTAACCACGAGAGGGTGCTCACCTACAGGAGACTAAATCACCCTCATTTACCCTTCTCTTAAAGGCAGAAAAATCTAGGTGTACCTCTTTGAGTCTAGACAGAGCAAGACATGCCTTGGCCCTTCATCAACACACCTCCTCTGGCCTCAGTCCTTTCAAGTACATAAGTCATTGATAAAAATAACAAAAGCCAGAACTGGCTAGACATGGCTACCCATGGATAACTATCATCTGGTTAGGCCACCAGCTTTTTCATATCAAATACACAAGGGCTGCTGCCTGTGAACAGTAAGATTTTGGGCCTGAAAAGGGAACATTTTCCAGGACTGCACAGTGAAGTAGTAGACCTCCCACAAGGTAATAGGCCATGTTCTCATGCTACCTGCTACTGCCAAGCAGATACCCACATTCACTTTGAAGAGGAGACTGCAAAGGTTTCAGGAAACACAGAGTCTATAAGGTAGTGACTCTCCCAGACAGAAGCAACAGTCTGATGATACGACCTTGGTTTAATCAGAAATCATATTTCTTGTCTAGTGCTTGCAATTAGCAAAAGCATGTATAATCATCATACAAAAGTATGGCATTGCTAACAGCACTGGAATTTTTCCTGTGTTTGCAATCACTTATAAGAAACATGTTCAAAAATAGGAATTTACCCCACGGCTATAGCATTCCCAAGGGTTTTCTAATGTACAGCATTTCCCCAGTAAATTTCTGTATATTGTATCCACTCTTAAAATCACTGGAACTGCCAACTCTGAGTGTCTTCTTGAATATTCATAGAGAAACCTGCATCATGTAAAACAGAAGGTAAAAAGTAGAATTCAGAAGCCATGAATTTTCTTTCAAAAGCCAGTTATGACCATGAAATTTAACTAACCTTAGGCATTTGGAAGCCTTAGAAAGCTGGTAGCGAGGTTTTATTGTCAATATTTTAAGACAAGGAAACCAAATCAATAAAATTATATGATTTTTTTCCAAAGTCACATAGTGGTGAATGGGAGATCTGGACCTTAAACCTAAAACCTCCTGGTTAACTAACAGCTTATGTTTCAGAGTCTACTTACTTTTACTTCAGATTAATTTCAAGTGTTTGAGTGGGAACATATGATTCCCAGTAATCTTGGAGGTTAATTTTTTTCAGAGAAAGTGCTTTCTCTGAAAGTGTTTTCAAACCATTGAAACACACCATCTTTCCCTCTTTTTCAAAACAGCCTTCAAATGTGAGTAGTCCATGCATAATCTATGTATTCATGTGGGCCATAGAAAGAAAAAAAAAATGAATTCTAGACTATTTTCAAAGCCTTGAAGTTATCTTGTCCAATTTACAATGGAAACACAATAAGCCTGAAGAAATCAAGTGACTTCACTATCTTCCACAGCTTATGCATGTCAAAACCAGGACTGGAGTTCAACTCTCCCAACTCAAAGTCCCATGTACCTTTCAAAGGACACCATGCCTGTTGACTTCTCAGTACCAAATGCAAGTTTAGGAATCTGTAGTGGGTAGTTTCAGGTAATGGCATTTGCTTTTATGAGCCAATATCAAATTAATTTTCAAAACATAAGTCAGGTCATTCTATAATTAACTTTGAAGAAAACTCAAATTCTCCTTGCTTCCCAATATGTCTTTGAAAATATTTCAATCACATAGTAATATTGTCTTTATATATTGAAATAAATTTGCCTTGTCACAAATTAATATGCACTTCTGAATGAACACTAAAGATGTTAACACCCCAATTCCCTAATCTTTAAATGGTACACCTGGGTTTGATAGTAGATATTAAGTTAATTAGAAAAGCTGACCAGGTATGCCAATCTGAAGCTCTTGCTCATCTCTGAGCAAGCTTACAAACATTTGACCATCACTGTGCTCTTTTTTAACTCTTATATTAGTGGTCAACATTTGACAATCAAGAAATTTCTACCTTCTTTTCAAATGCAATAGGCCCAATCACCCACATTGCCACATGGCAATATGACTGAAGCTGAACAGCTACTGCCAACTTTGGACTCCAAAGCAACAACTCTTGGCTACACTTTCTAATTTAGCCACTCAGTTTCATCACTGGTTGGACCCTGTTGTCATTCAAGTTTACACTATTTCCCAAAGAATTCATACATAATCACTAAGATATTACAAAAATGTTCCATCACTAAGATATTACTCTTCTAGAAAGCTGTCTTGCTTGCCAGTGAATTGTTTGCACACAGATTGGTCTTCTGTAAACCTTCTGAGGGGCAGAGGTGAAAGGTTGGGTTTGTCATCATTTTCCAAGTTGATTATGCATTCCCCTCGGAATGGCTCTGGTTGTTCACAGCACTGAGTAGTCTTGCTGGATAGGGTAACCTGTTTAGAGCAGGTATAGTTCATAAGCTGGCTCTATAAAACATAAAACAGAACAGTGATTTTGCATGATTTCATTCTTAGCTTACTTATTTTTATTGTTATTTATAGAAAACCAAAGAAAAACTTGGTATCTTGTGCTACTTATTTTTTTTTAAAGAGGACAACAAAAATGTATTTTATTCCTTATTTTGCAGTATTTTTTGTTGTTGTTTTTTCTCTTTTATTTATTTTATTGTTTTATTATTCATATGTGCAAACAAGGCTTGGGTCATTTCTCCCCCCTGCCTCCACCCCCTCCCTTACCACCCACTCTGCCCCCTCCTTCTCACCCCCACCCCCTCCATACCCAGCAGAAACTATTTTGCCCTTATCTCTAATTTTGTTGAAGAGAGTGTAAGCAATAATAGGAAGGAACAAGTGTTCCTGGTTGAGATAAGGATAGCTGTACAGGGAGTTACTCACATTAATTTCCTGCTACTTATGCTTATTTCTTATGCTACTTAATCCTTTATAAACTGAAAGACCAAAAACATCATTTTACAGTACTCATACGAAAAACAAATACACACCTATTTGATATTACTGAAATGTAACAAGCTCCTTTACCAACTATTAAAGAACATATGAGGAAACAGGCTGTATAATTGTTTCAATGTTTAACCCCACAAAAAAATACAAATGAATAGTTTTACTATCTTTTCATTGTTTTTCTTTTTTAATGGATTAATTTCTTCATTTTTTTTGTTGTTGTGTTATGTGGGGATACATTATGGCATTTACAGAAGTTCTTACAATATAACAAATGTATCATATTTGAATACACACCCTCCTTATTCTACTTCATACACCTTTTCCCCCATTCCTGGAATAGTTTCAACAGATACCATTTTTCCATTTACATACATGTGTGCATAGTATTTGCACTATATTCACCCTCCTTCACCATTTCTCCATCTCCTCCCCCCTCCACTGGTACCAACCTCCACCCCAGGCAGGACCTGTTCTCTGATTTTGTATAAGAGAAAAAAAAAATGACATTTTTGGTTGTTTAAGATAGCTACACAGGGTGTTTCCTTCTGGCACTTCCACATTTACATGTATTATAACCTGATTTGGTGCATCTCTATTTTTTTTCTTTCTACCTTAGTCCATTTCTTATGGGTTTCAGTCAGTTTAAAAATTCTATATTTATTCTTGTATAGAGAGTACACAAACCATATTTACCTTTATAATTTCCTTCTTTTACCCTACCCTCTTACATGTGACCTCCCTTAGCATGGCCTGTTCTTCATAGAATTGCTGTGTTTGTATTAGGTTTATATTCCACATATGAGAAAAACATGAGACTTTTGGGCTTCTGCACCTGGCTAACATCACATAAGATGATGTTCTCGAGTTCCATCCATTTACCTGCAAATGACAAAATTTCATTCTTCTTTGTAGATGAATAAAATTCCATTGTATTTAAATACCACATTTTCTTAATCCATTCATCAGTAGTGGGACATCTTGGCTGTTTCCCATAACTTAGCTATTGTGAATAACACTGCAATAAACATGGATATGCAGATACCTTTGTTGTTACCTAACTTATATTCCTTCAGGTATATCTCTAGGAATGGAATTGCTGGATTGTATGGCAGATCCATTTTTAGTTTTTTGAGGAGCCTCCATAGTGTTTTCCATAGTGGTTATACAATTTACCACATTCCCACCAACAGTGTATGAGAGTTCATTTTTCCCCACATCCTTGCCAACATTTGTTGTTGTTTGTGTTCTTGATCGTAGCTATTCTAATAGGAGTGAGGTGGAATCTTAATGTGATTTTGATTTGCATTTCCTTTATAGCCAGGGATGGTGAGCATTTCTTTATGTGTTTTTTAGCCATTTGGACTTCTTCCTTTAAAAAAATCTCTGTTCAGTTCTTTTGCCCCTTTCTTCATTGGGTCATTGATTTTTTGGGAGTTTAAGTTTTTGAGCTTCCTATATATTCTAGTTATCAATCCCTTGTCAGATGTATAGCTGGCAAAGGTTTTCTCCCATTCTGTGGGCAGCCTCTTCAACTTAGAGACTATTTCTTTTGTTGTGCAGAAGCTTTTTAATTTCATGTAGTCCCATTTGTCAATCCTTTCTCTTGGTTGCTGAGCCTTTTGAGTTGTATTGAGGAAGTCATTGTCTGTGCCTATTAATTCAAGTATATTCCCTGTTCTTTCCCATACTAGTTTCAAAGCTTCAGGTCTTATATTAAGGTCCTTGATCCATCTATTGTTGTTCTTGTTTTAGGATCCCAATTTAGGAAGCATTTTGTCTTTAAACCACATCACAATTTGTTCATTTATTTTATAATATCTACTAGACTCATGTATTTACTTAAACACACGCAAATAATTGTGTGTATTTAAATAATCTCTGCAGTTAAAGAACTCATAATCGAGTTGAAGAGCCAAATAATTAACAATAACAATCATAATGCAGCATAACTTAGAAGCTATAAGAGAAATACACATACGATTCTTTGGAGGACAAAGAGAAAATGGCTATGAAGACTGAATGGAGGTCACAGGAATAACCTTGAATGATTTAAGTCATGAAGGACAAATAGAAGTTAATTTGAAACAAGTGAAGAGGAATAAAATTCTAGAATTATTCATCTTTACATATAAATAATCTTAGAGGTAAGAAAGCATGCATGTAGGAAATGGTGTATGTACAAGATATTTGGAAGTTATGAGAAAATTTAGTTGAGGAATAATCAGGTATTGGACCAAATTAGTGAAGGATAGACTTAAGCCCTACCTATAGGTAGAATTAAGAAAAATTTAATAAATAATAATTAGGTTGGAAGCAAAAGGGGTGAAGAAAAAGGATCCAGAATGATAGGAAAGAGTGGGTTGATGATAGTATAATTTACTGAAACCGATATTCAGGGAAATGAACAGGTTTGAGGAGAGTGGCTAAAAAAAAATGGAAGCTGAAGAGTTCACTACATGTATTCAGAGTTTGAGATGATTCAACACATCTATGAGGCATCTTCAAGATTTCCTCTAAGCACTAGGGGGCATAAATTAAGTGTTCAGAAAAGAAGAATAAGATGAGGATCTAAATCTGAGAGTAAATTATGGGTTCAGGTTCAGACTGTTAAGGGAGAATATGTGTATTAGTTAGGTGGCTTTCATGTTCTCAGTTGCTCAACAGAATAGAGTTTATTTTCCTGTCTAAAGGCCTAGTGGGAGAGCTGTGTGGCTCAAGCTATAGAGCACTTGGCAAGTGTGAGAACCTGAGTTCAAACCCAGGACCTGAACAAACAAACAAACAAACAAAAAAGCCTGCTGGTTGGGGGAGACATTTCTCTCTGGGAAGTAGCTCCAGAAAGTTGTACGACACAGGCAAGAAATGCAGTTCATAGTCTAGCAACTGCTATAGACTGTGGAAGAAGAGCATGAATGATAAGAAAGGAGAAAAATAGAAGGATAAACCAATTCAAGATATGATAAGCATATACATGGAAATGTCTCAAGAAACTCCCTGTACAGACAGAACATTGCCTTTTGACCACAGTGGGGACGATGCGCATCAGATAACACAAACTTTTTGTTGCTCTGAACATGCATAAATATGTGAACAGTCATGAAAGTGTTGTTAATATTGATTTTGTGGTTATGACTGAATTTTGAAAAGTAGGTGAATTCGTAATTACAGAATCCGTGACTACTAAGAATCTGCTGGAAAAACCTTAAAACTGTCCCATAGCAAAAGAAATGGGAAAGCTGTTACTCTAATTTCTTTCTCTATCTCAATTTCACTTTTATGGACAAGTTCAAATCTTCCCCAAACAGATAGGCTCTATACTATTTAAATGATTTTAGAGAATTCAATGGGGAAAAAAATCCAATTCATTTTTTTAAAGTTAGCATAAATGAATTCCAAAACCTGCTGAAGCATGTGCCAAAAAAAGTGACAGTTCAATTTCACATCTTAGCACAGTTGTATATATTTCTCAAGTCCAGAGATACAGTAAAATGAAATTATAAGGCTGGTTAAAAAATTAAGAAATCTTAGCTGGCACTGGTAGCTCATGCCAGCAATCCTAGCTACTTAGGAGTCTGAAATCGGGAGAATGATGGTTTCAGACCAGCCCGAGCAAATAGTTCACAAGACCCCATCTCCAAAATAGCCAGAGCAAAATGAACTAGAGGTGTGCTTCAAGCATGAGAGTGTCTGTTTTGCAAACACAAAATCCTGAGTTCAAACCACAGTCCTAGCCAAAAAAAAAAAAAAAAAAGAAGAAAGAACTCTGTTAATAAAATTCACCAAAGGATGGAAATCAAATGAGCATGTTAAAATGAGAAAAGTATATTTAAATTTAGTATTCAGAATCCATGCTTAGTAAAAACAAACAAAACCCCTCTTAAAAAGCCAGGTATGGTGGTATACCCTATCTGTAATCCCAGATACTTGGGAGGCAGAAACACAAAGATTGGCAGTTCAAGGCCAGCCTGGACAAAGTTAGGAACACCCTATCTCAAAAACAGCACACAAAACAAAAGGTCTGGCAGCATGGCTCAAGTAATAAAATGCACAACACCCTGGGTTCAATCCCCAGTAACACACACACACACCCCATCCTCAAAAATAGAATGAAAACTCTTTTAACACATAAATAATTCCTTTGTCAAGCCAATAACCCTAAACTTGTTTGGATTACAATCTGAATGAAGAGAGGACCACCCAGCAGTTTACAGTTATTTAAAATTATTTGTGAATGATAGTCAATATAAATGACATAACTGTAGATTGTTCCAGCACCCTGCGACTGTAGTCCAGACTACAAGGGGAGCAGTTCTAGAGTTATTAGTTTGACATGTGTTTTGTTCATGTGCTAAGGGATTTTAGAGATTTGTTTTGTTTTACTTAGTTTTCGTTGGAGTGGTTTCTGTCAGGGCCCAAAACTCCCTTTACTTTTCCACTAAATTCATACAGTGTTCAGGCAAACAGAATTCTGGCTGTCCTAAACAGCCAACACGCCTTCTAAGTATGCAAGATAGTTTAACTTTCAGTGTCCATTGAGATTCTTGTCACTAAAAAGCAAAAAATTTGATTCAAGAAACAAGTTTAAATTATCTCTCTCCGGGAAGGAGTTGGCAGTGGCAACTGCCATTCCTGAGAGGCACCGCTACTGTGATGCTGGCAATGGACTGCAATGGTGGCTGGGGAAAGCTGTCTGACCCCAGCTCTGTCCTAAGAATAGAAATTTGAGGACTTAGAATACTAGGGAGTTTCTGAGTGTTCTATTCAGTGTGTTTCTGTTTTCATTTCTGTGGTTACCCACATCTTTTAAACTGTTGTTTAATGAGACTAAAACTTGGGGGACCAGAGTCTTTGCGCAAAAGAGTTATGGTTTTCCCATGAAATGTTGCTGTTAGGTGTCCTTAGTTCTGTTGTTATTTTTGTGCTGTTGTGATGATGAAAATTACCCAACTTTCAAACTTGCAGAAAGAATAAGAACATGGCTTGTGACTTGTGAGGATTTGACAGTCACAGTTCTTTCCTTTTCTGGGATGTGAGGACCATATATTTGGGTGTGAAGCAGGTGAGTTCCATGCAGTCCTTGCACCCATGCTCCATGCATTTATACCACGTTTCCTCTGTTGGTTTCCTTTCCCATCTGTCTGATGTGGTATACAGTTCTAGGTCTTGTGCAAGAAGCAAAAATGATGAAATATAGTCCCAATTTCTCAGAAAATTTCTGAAATTTTTGGAGACCAGCTCCAAAAACTTAAGGAACCAAGCAACAAAGTTAAGTAGAAAGGAAAGAAGAAAGAGAGGAAAAATTCTTGCATGAGTTGGGAACAGAGAGAAGATACCATTCTACTGGTGATTTTGAGAAATGATCTTTACTTTTCTAGCTTCATCATTAACCACTGCACTGTTATTTAAGAATTTTAAGTTTTTTAAACATTAAAGTGAATTTTGAGAAGAGAGACTCTTACCCTGCCCAGTGTACATGCCACTGCATTTCCCTCACAACAAATCTTGTGCAGATTTTTAATATCTGTGGTAAGTTTGGCAATTTCAGAAAAATTAGCTTTAGGTTGCTTTTTAGTAAGTAGAACCAATTCTCTGAAAAGAAAAGTAAATACATTTTAAATTGTATTTTGGATTTAATCTTTTTGAAAACTAGTTCTAGTTCATTGAATAGCCCCCCCAAAAAAATATGAACCTAATTTCAAATGTGGGGTGAGAAAGAATGTTACAAATGAATTCTGTTTCTTCAATGATAGTACCCAGAGCCATACAAAGATCAAATCATAGAACAAGCACTTTGAAATACATAAAATATGTTCATTTCCATTGTTTAAGCTATCTCTTATAAAAGTTGAGTTGCTTAGATAGGCAATGAAATGAAAGGTTACCTAGCCTTGAAATGTTTCTGGCCTGACTTTCCTACATAAACCTCCTCATTATAAAGACAGAAATCATGAGGGGAGAAATCACAAGTCTCCCTTGCTTCTGCTGATAAATGAACAACATCCCTAAAGTTTCTCTGGAAGTAGATCCACTTACTCTTTCTATTTTACCTGGTGTTAGAGCCAAGAGAAAGGAGGACCTTTTATCCTTCAGTCTTTACCATGTGGAAAAATTCAGTAAACTCCTGCATCTGAAAGTCCAAAGTCTTTTGTGCACTGAGAAAGAGACTATGGGATTTGAGCAGATGGGAGAAATTGAGGCAGGAGGTAACGGGGGCAGTTGAAAATTGTGCAATTTTATCCATATCTCTGTGTGCTGTGTGCCCTGTTTGAACAGGCAGGCAGCATATGTGTAGAGAAAGAAGCCAGGCTTGTACTGATTAACATTGTTAAATGAGGCGTAAACAGCTTTTCAAACAAGTTTAGTCAAAAGGGCTGACCCAAGAGCAGCAAAGTCCACAAATCTAAATAGATAACTTACACTGCTTTTGCTACATTGTGGTTGAATTTAATCCCGATATCACATAAATGATGATGTCTCAAAGATATCTCTTTAATGTATTTTCTGATGGGATCTAGCTGTAAACAGAAAAAAGCTCATCAAAGAAAAATGGTAATAATAGAAAAAGTTAATCTCATCATTAGTAAAGGAGAGAAAAGGAAAATTTGTATACCTCCTCAAAATTAGAAAGTGCTCTATTGAATTACTTAAAAGAGGCCAATATGCAAAAGCATAACATGGCATTGTAAAATAGCATTTCACTTCCCCAGATCACTGTCTGAGAACATCAAACATTGGGAATATAAATGTGAGCAATAAAGAAAGTGAACAAACCAAAGTCCAGAGAACTGCCAGAATAAATCTCAGCGTAATGCCTTACAGTTTTATTTCGCTTTTATCTTAGTTATTAACTGTGCCATCAGGGGCATATCTCCTACTACTTAACTAAAATATATGTTCTGATTCTGCAATGTATAAATTAACTTGCTCAGCTCTGAATGTTCATTTTCTTTAACTGCAGATTTCTCCTTTTTAAACTATCACAAGTATTTTTAAATAAATTAAAACACAATTGCAGGCTGAGGTTCATGAAGCTCAAGTGATCGAGCACTTGCCTCATACACAAGGCCTTGAGTTCAACCCCCCGTCTGCAAAAATAAACAAACAAAACAAGAATGCAACCTGATGCAGGTGGCTCACACCTATAATCCTAGCTACTCAGGAGGCAGAGATTAGGAGGGTTGCGGTTCAAAGCCAGCCCAGGTAAATAGTTCACAAGACTCTATCTCAAAAATACCCAACACAAAAAGGAATGATGGAGTGGCTCAAGTGGTAGAGTGCCTGCCTAGTTTTACTGAATTCAAATCCCAGTATCACCAAAAAAAAAAAAAAGCAAAAAGATGTACATAAATTTTCTTGTGACAGCAAAATTTTGATGGAAATAAAATGATTCAACAGAGAGTGGTGGTTACATAAGTAATAGCACATTTTTAAAAGATTTATATTTATAATGAAAAATAAGTATGATTAAATCTTGTCAAAATATATATGCAGTATAATCATAAGCATGCGTAAAACAAAGTATGTAAATAGAAAAAAATTATTAGAAAGAAATATACCAAAATTTGTATGTCTATATGGGAGAAATATAAGTAATATTTAAATTTTTCTGAGCAGTTCTATATTTTCATTTAAAACATTATATCAAACATATATTATTTTTTTCTATGGATAGCCATACCTTACAGTGACATTTTTAAGAACAAGTCAGAAAATGTAAAGGCAACATGCAAACTACAAAACTGAAATCATAATTATAATTTTATTTAATAAGTATTATTAAATACAACTTAATTATATATTATAACTAATTATGAGTTATTATTATTTTTCTTTTTGTTGTATCACACTCATTCAAAATCAAACAAGTTTATCCACTTCTTCATGAGAGTCTCTGAGACCTTAATTGAAAGGTCGCATTCTCTGATAATAGACAATTTTTACACAACTGATGATGTAATTTTTCTCTGAAGAAGGTGCACTAGGAACAGACAGCAGCAGCAATACTGTGAATGCCATCATTGCAAAGTGAGGAAGAGAAAGAATGAACTCTGAGCTGACTTGTAACATCTGCTTATGTTTGACACTATAGGGGTGTGTTATATACCTAGGAAAAATTTCCACTGAAAAAAGATAAGATGAAAAATACTTTATAATTTAAAAGAGTAAGTACAAATTATGTACAGAGCTCACTTCTGTGGCAGGGGGAAAAAATCCTCCTTCAGAGCTATTGGGCAATGAGATGTAAATCTGTACATGATGACTGGTTTTCACTTTTTAATTCAAATGAACCAAAAGGGGGAAAAATAACTACATTCTTAGGAATTGAGAATTGAATTCTAAAGGAATGGGAATCTACCAGGAGGAGGTGAGAAATATATATAAAAGCTTTTTACCTAAAATAAATAAAAACAAAGTCAATGCCAGACACTTCAGATACATTGTTTAATTTCTGATTGACAAGAAGGAGCACAATAGCAGATAAAATTCTATGGGTTTGGAAGAAATTAAATGACTTCTCACTGAGAATATCAAAGAAGATGGCAAGGAAAAAGTGGCAATTCATTTAGTATTGAGTAATTCATCAAGAAGATTATGAAGCTTCTAGTAATTTTCAGCCTGAGTTTTGGAAACCCCACCTGACGCCCCCTCCAGTAAAATAAAGGTGATTATCTTATGTTAATATTTAGAACCTTTAATGAATATGACAAAAAATACTTTTATCCTGGAACTAATCACTGATTTGCATCTATCCAATGATGGAGAAAGGGGCACATGATTAAAATTGTTTGTTAAATTTTATTTTCCAAAGGTGGCTACAATATCTCCTATCCCTTATTTTTCCAACAATCCTTTCACCAAATTGTAAGGTGTGTATATAGTATCCCCTTCAAAATGGTGAGGCTTAATGGTATTTAAACCAATGCAGCATGACTGAGTGAATTTTGAGGCTCGATCATAAATGGCCAAGCAATTTCTGCTGCATCCACTAGAAGAGAAAACTCCTCTTGAAGCCTTCACCTACATGGAAGCAACCCAGTTCCTCCAGCTTCCATGCAGTGAGGAAGACCAAGGCAGAGACACTACACGGAAATATGGTTGAGATTGTATAAGAAGAAAGAGATACTGAGTCAATGACACGTGCTTCAGCACCTCCCCCCAAGAATTCCATGTCCACACTTCATCTGATGGCAACCACATGAAGGATCATGAGACAGAAACCCCAGATGAACTATTACCTAAATTCCTGACCCCCTGAAATTATGAAAGGTGATAAAACAATGACCATTATTTTTGGGTGTTTTCTTAGGCAGCAATGTTGATATATTATTTATTATAAAGTATTTAATATAAAGTAATGTTAGTACTAAATCAAGCTTCTCAAATTTTAATGACTATGTAAATTGATTGGGTACCTTATTAAAATAAAATCTGCTTTGTAGATTTGGAGAAGAGTTTGAGAGTCTATGTTTCTAATAAATTCTGAGATGATACATATGCTGTTGGCCCAGAGTACACACTTGCCATGATGGGGCCCTAAGCAGTAGATGGTATATGCATATTATACCTTTATCTGCAGGCATTCAGTTTTATTTTCTTCTTGACAACATGTCTGAACAGCTGTCTCATAGCAAGCAGACATGGTCAGGATAGTGGGTCCATATAAGAATGGATGCCTTCTAGAAATTTCATAACCATACCTACAATTCAACAAACACAAAATTATATGATTTGGAATTCAAGAACATACACTGACACTATTTCTTAAAAACAGGAATCCTTCAGTTTTGTTGATCTGAAACTTCTGGAAACTCATGGTGGGTGATTTAGTTGAGGTAGCACTGTGCTTAAAGGCATCAAATGTTCACTATGGACAGATTACTGTGGGGTTGGTCAGATATTCCCTGAGTGCCCATGAAGTGACCAAGACTGATGAAGAAAGAGCACCAGCAATTAAAACCTTCATTTTCTTAATAAAGAAAGTCCACAAGTCTAAGCAAATTATAAATGCAGGATTGTATAGCTGGTACAGAGGAATTAAATTCAGAGGTTTTGATGGGTGAAGATAAGTCTCTCAAGACCATCCAGAAGTTGTTTCTAGACTAAGGAAGTTAATGCCATTGTCTTCCAAGATGTGCCACTCAGCATTTTGGTTGGTTACTAAGTTTTTAGTAACCATATCTCCTCATAGCAGTCTTCAAATCTTACTCAAAACTTACTCATGCATACATGGATATATACTCAACACTGCAGACAGAAACTTAATTAATGCTCACACAAATCCATTGTCTCTTCTTGTGTGCACAAGAAGACTACTTTTCCAGACTCCCTTGCAGTTAAGTTGGGAGAATGAAACTGAGTTCTGACCAATAAAATATGCATGGGCATGTCACATACCACTTCTAGACTTGGCCAATCATAACTTTTTTGCACAATTCCTGACTGTTTTTTGGAAACGTAGGCTCCAGGCGGTATAGCCCTTAGGTAAAAACAGCTTGGATTCCTGAGTTACTGGCTAGAGAATTGTCAAGATTTGAGCTAAGTTACCAGAAGTCAAAGTATCCAAGTAAGGCAGGAAGCCAAAATGAAACTTCAGTTTTACCTTTAATGATTTATTAGGGTAATAAAAGCAAGAGGTAAACAGAAAAAAGTGCCAACCCCCCTGTTTCATTTTCTCTGTGGATAAAACCAAGGATCAGGAGAATTGGCACAGAAATGAGATCTACTCATTCCTGAGGGCTTCCTGTCCCCCTCAAAAGACTTCTTCTGTTTTAGGGGGCAAGGGAGAGGGAGAGCTGAAAAGGCATGGAGTAGAAAAGTCCTGAATACTGACTCAGAGTGGAGCAAAGTCTCCTCAAGTTTCCTCCTTCTTCCCCTTCCTCCCAAGTTAAAAGGTTTGAGCAGAAGTCACCGTGGAAGACCTCTGCTGAAGATCCTCTAAAATCAGCCCTCCAAACAGAGGTACCTGAGAAGAGGCAGCTATGCACGGAAGCATGACCAGGAGGCCTAAGAACCTGTCTGTAGCTCTCCTCAAATATTGCCGTGCAGTGTCTATGCATCTCATTTGCGTGGGGAGGGATGCTTTAGGCTTGCCTGACATCAGGCATGAAACTTGCTGTGCTTAATAACAGCATGTATATCACTTTAATAAGTGAGGAGCTAAGCTCAGATTTTGGTTCCCAGTTAGTCTCTTTAACATCGGGTATGTTGGAACCTTCCAAACACCAGTTCCCTTAGTCCTTTTCACTAATTGTCTGGGACTAATAAATTCCTTCTTGATGGTTCAATGATCTCTGGGGCAGTTCTGTCCCTGTGTGGGTGAATTAACGGAGTTTTGGCTATCCATCATCAAGTCGCCCTGTCCTCTCGTGATCTGATCTGCATGTCTAAAATCTAAAATTAAATCATCACCATTCTCCTGTACTTGGACTAGCAAGTGAATCTCTGTCTTTTACCCATGCCCGAGCCTGACTTGAGTAAGATAGCCAGATCTCCATTTCTTGAGAGCAGAAGCTTGCATTTTTCTTGTCCTTTCCTGGTAACCCCAACCACTTGCTAGCACCAAACACCAAACCTTCAACAGACACAATACCATGCTAACTGGGATTCCAAAATATGAGCTTGCCAATACATGTTTTAGTGCTATCAACTCTGCATGGGAACTACACAATGTTTTTGACTTGAAAACTCATCTCTGCACAGCATGGTGGTAATCCCACCACTTGGGAAGGTTGTGAGTTCTAGGCCATCCTGGGGTACATAGTGAGACCCTCAAAAAACAGACGAAAGAGCCGCATTTCTGTCTAATCTACAATTATTGCTTGTTTTTAGGCCCTAGCTCCATGTTTGTCATTATCCATTGATGAATATCCCCTTATGCCAAGTCCTGTTCTCCGTCTCCAAATATTCTCGTTTAGTATACTTTGCCTGCTTAGCTGCCTATCTGTGTTTTTCAATATCATTTGTTACTAGTCCACCTAATCTAACTCTCAAGGAAATGAGTCCTTTATGGGTCCTTGTCATTTTTCATCTTTTTCACATTTTTCATGCCCTATTGGTTCAATAGGTTGGTAACTGTCATTCTGAGGAAGAAAAAAATGTATTACAGGTCAAATTTTCACTCTAATTCCATGTAATAAAGCATTGTGTTCTCAGAGGATCTTATATTTTAAAAAAAGATCTGTCTTCAAAATTGGAAAATATTCTCTTCAAAGGCAACTACAAGGAGAAATAGCTCACCATGCCTTCATGGACATTTGATTCTCTTTGTCCATTTCACAGATCTGTTCAGGCTTTGGAATTTGGAATATTTCCCTATAATCCATGTCATCTTTTTTATAGGATAGGAAGCACTCGAGTCTTTCTGTGTTGTTTGTAGTACAACAGTCTGTAAACATGTGTTTCTCCACCATTCCTTGGTTGCTGCAAATATACTCCAGGAAGGTAGTCATCTATGGGAGAAAATGATGACTTAAAGGAGAAGTATATATGATTTACATTCCTAGCCACAGGAAAGTTAAGAAATAAAGTAAAGGCAGCTAAGCATATAATGTAAAACTCTGGATCCAATAGTTTCTGGGCCTGGCTCTTTTAAGTAGAAATCTTTTAAGTTTTTAAGTCTAAATGCACACATACTGGCTATTGACCAAATAGAATTTATCACTTTCCCCTTTCCTATGCAGTAACTTCATTTTTTGAGCAGTTGAGAGTTACTAAAATAAAAATATAATCCAGAATACCGAGGGCAAGATATTTTTCTCTTTTTTTATTAACATATATTAACTGTACAAAGGATGTTCTTTGTGATATTTCCATACAAAAGGCAATATACTTTTAATAAGAACTTTTCTTAAAAGTTCTTATTTTCTCTACCTTAAAAAATCTGGCAATTTGCTTTCCTTACTTCGTAATCATTTTTAGCTTTATTTCCATGGGAATTTATATTAAGAATTGAAGTTTGAGACAATGTGTATTCATTACCAAATAGTCAATTTGTTTTCAAATACTTTTGGTGGCAGCAAATGTCTGAAGCTCAATGGCATGTGTTTTGAGATTTGGAGCATAAGGACAGAAAAGGTTATCTTTAGAAATGGAAATGAGTAGGATTCAGTATAAAAAGTAAGACTGGCCACTGGCAGAAGGACTTCATTTAAAATGTTTCCAGTCAGGCTGATGATTTCTCTATGTCTCTTCAGAGTCTAGCAAAAAACAAGTATGTATTAGCCCCAAGATGAAAATTTTAAATCCACAAATAAAGAAGAAAAATTATTCACTTATAGTTTAACTTATTTGACATGTCAGTAATGGATCCAAAAGATATGTATTGTAAGAGGATGTGTTTATCAAGAATTTCCCAAAAGAATACCTATTTTCATGAAATTTACTAATCACAGGAAAGAGTTTATAATGAAACAATCATAATTCCCATGATTTTCTATGACTGGGAAAGGAATCTATGAAATATTCACTTCTTTATGTTCTCTAATGAGCGTTTTAAAATTAGTTCTTAAATTACGAAGATTCATTATATAAAAATGTCAGATAATAGTATTCTAGTGACTCAGACAGAGCAATAACTGTGAAGTAACACATTGGGATTTACGGTTACCATTCATTCTCTTGAGTGTTTGCTCTTGGAATCTGGTCCCCTAAGAGTAAACTGATAAAATGTAAAATAATGTTATAAAACTACAAAGACTATATCTGAGGTATTACTCATTTACCCTCTGCCTAATTATTCAACCAGCCCCTTCAGAACAACATCTTTTGTTTATAATCTAGATTAGAAAAGGGAAAGAAAAACAAAAAACAGAAAACAGATGATCCACCTACCAATTGGTGAGCACATTCTAAAGGTGACTCGGGTGATTTAAGACTCTTGCACTGTTCTACAGTATCTAACAACTCTGTAACTATAGTTTGCACTTCTTCATAAGTCGATTTCTGAAGAAACTGAGCAACCATAATGCTAGTGCTGAAACATAGTATTTGCAAGTGTTAAAGATAGAATCAAACCCGTTTTTTCCATCATTTTTTCTTAGGTCACTGCTATGTCATTCCCCCCACCAAATGATGTATTTTCAAATTTCAAACAAAGGAACATTGATGATAAAACTCACATGTCTCTTAAGTTCTCCTTCAGATAATTCTGGCTCTTAATATTCTGCATGACTGAAATAAAAACAGTTTTGTTTGCTTCTGTGACCTGGATTCTTGAATACCACATATTGAAATCCTGACCCTCAAGGTGATGGCATTAGAAGGTAAGAATTTCTAATAGTTCAGAAGGGTGTAGCACTCATAGGTGGAATTAGTGCCTTTATAAAAGAGACCTAAGGGAGCTCATTCATCCTTTCCACTATATAAAAAACATATTAGACACGATTTATGGCTACAAAGTAAGTTCATGCTGAATATAAGAGCCCTCACCAGAACCACATTGGCTGACATCTTGACCTTGGACTTCCCAGCCTCCAACACTGTAAGAAATAAATTTCTGATGTTTATAATCTTCTCAGTTTATGGTATTTTGTTATAGCAATCCAAATGAACTAAGACATTTGCATAACATGAAACTTTCTAGATTGAAACCCCTCTTTAAATTCTGCAATCTATATATATTTGCTAAATCTATATTTAACATAATAAATACAAATTACTGGATATGTCTTTACTTGTATTTAAACTGTTTTCTGTGGATAATTTATTTATATTCAAAAATATGTGTAGCTGAAATCTATCATTGGTCTGCAAATAAGCTACATGTAGTTGTGTTGAAACTTCTGAATTAAATTTGATGATTTGGTTATTTAACTTTAATTAGCATACTCAAAAATAAAAGTAAACATTGGGAGCAAAATTACAAACATTAAGACTTTTCCAGGCTTAATTTGGATTTGTTCATCACCTCCATCTTCTTCATCACCCCTACTCACCCACAAGCCTGCGCATGCTCTCTATTGAAAACAGTGTCTTCCTTCTTATGCTAATAGCATCTACAGAGCTTTGCAGCTCTACTATCTGCTAAATAAGAAATCCGTTATTATTTGCTATACAGAATAAAAAGACAGCTATTCTGTGTTCAACTTCTATTCATAGAAATAGAACAACAATAACTTCTCTGCGTTTCTATTTCTCTATCTGCAAAATGTAAGTTTTACTGCATAGGGTTGCTGTTTTAAGATTGGATGAAAGCATCTATACGTGAAGTACTGAGCATGGTGCCTGGCATATCAAGGCACAGAATAATGGAGCTCATAATATTATTCCTGCTGTTGTTCACACTGTTGCCCTGTCTAACCTCATTTATCCAATTTCAAATACTGGTTTGAATGTAACATTCTCTTAACCTAAAATGGGAGTTAGGTTAAAGTGAGGTATTTCTCAATGAGTTGCCTCAATGTATTAGCTCTGTTTCTGTATTCATTCCACACAATGTAGCTAGCAATTATCAGCAACTATTGACAGTGATGATTGAGAAAGATAAGCCTTTTCATACACTTTAGTAGTTATTAGGTCTACTTACCCTGTCCTTTCATGTAGTATATATAGGTTGCAAATAGGAATTCCTACCTGCATGTAGTAAACTTGTCTGAAGAGTTTGACATTTAATGTAGCTAAAGAAAACAAGAAAAGATAAGAGTTTAATAGCCTTCATTATTTCAGATGAACTTTAATGGAAGGTGTTCTATGATTTGAGAGAAATGAAGAATTTACTCATATTCTTTTCAAGTAATTACTATTAACAATTAACTTTCCTGGTGAATATTTTTTTCTAAGGCCACTGTCACACTGATAAAAGTGAGGATATTCATGACAGTGAAGAAACATTGTGATGGATTGCATTCATTAATGAATACTGAATTTTAAACAAGTTGTGTCAGTCAACTTGTTTTTTCAAGATTGCAACATGGCAAGTCTTGTAATAATCAATAAGCATTTTTGGTAAATATTGGTCTACAATATCTCATTTCATAGAAATGCTTGTTGACATGTACAAAGTTCTCCAGAGGCAGAGGAGAAAGTAAACAAGTACTACCCCAGGTCAAAGAAATGGTAGGACTCAGGTGTCAATGCTGAGCACACTTTTCAAGTCCCTGTGGGAGTGGAGACATCAGGGTACATGCATTGAGGGCAACCCCAAGGGAGTGGGACGTAACTCACTGAGAGCTTACTGTGGACCTGGAGTTTCATATGACTTGACTTTCAGGTACACAACAATATTATTTCTTGAATGGGAAATTAAAACTCAGATTCTTATCATTTCCTCATGGACTCACAGATAAAAATTCAGGTTCATCTGACTTCAAAGCCCATACCACCTAAGGGGTAGTATTAATAATGTTCCAATAATTCTCAGCTATTT